TAGTTCATTGCTTGTTGCACCTTATTTAAAAGGCTCGATGTACCTACTTCGTTCATCTTCGCTTGGATCTCCTCGGCCACCAGAAAACAAAGGTAGTTGGCCACACCCACCAGAGCAGGCAGTGCCCGGGCATCCACCGGGATACTAAGAATGACCGTTCTATTGGAACTCAAATTCGGCTCGCCCGCTCCGAATGGAACATCCTTTTTTGGGACCTCCAGGTTGCCAAGCCCGGAGTAGTCCTCCAACTCTCATGTCTATGCCATCGAAGAACATGTTGTGGGCATCATCCGATCTAGTGTCGTCTCGCTTGATTTCTCTTTATTGGCCTGAGCCTCTTCGAACATGGACTCTGTGTGGGACGTCATCTCCGTGATGTCAATGACACCAGCTACCTCCTTTGGCAGGAACAGCTTCTGGGGATGCCATGGCCTCCAATCCTCCTTCTGGCTCCTAAGCTAGAGGGGAATCGACCCCTCGGCCATCTTCCCCGGTCGTCGCCCTCTCTCCCTCGTTGATGGTTGACTCATGAGCAATGAACTCATGGTCGTCATCCTCAGGGTAATCCCTAAGCCAAAAGAGGGAATTAAGGCCTGGTACCCTAGCTTTGGTGTTCTTTTTGTTGCTTTTTCGAATCCAGGCAGCAACCCTTTTATTCTTCACCTTGGTGTCTAAGGAGCTAGAGGATTTCCGTTTTCTCTTTTTATCCTCCTTCGCGGCAGCTATGGGCTGTCCCGAAGTAAAGGGTTCTGCAAGCGAGGATAGGACCTCGTCCCCATCCAATGGCTGAAGCTCGGTGGTCTTGGGAAAGCTAGTGAAAGGGAAAAAGACTTAGCAAATATAAAAGTTAAGTATGTAAATATAATTATTCGGGCAGGAGACTCACCGTGGGAACGAGCCTCCGACTTTCCCCTCGAGAGCTTGCGCCATTCACGCTGGAAGTAAGGAATTTGTTTATAAATCCCCTCGATCCACTCATTGAGGTGGGGGACTGCATTGGGGACTTGGGCGACTACTGAACGACGGTAGACACATGCACTTAGAAAAAAAACAAAAGGAAATAACAAGCACTCAAGAAGGAGAAGACTTACTGGATGAGTTCCACGTTTCACGGAATGGTAGAAATTTATGGGGAATGAGGTCTTTGGTTTTCACCCAAAGGAACCTCTCCTTCCAACCTCGATCTCAATTTTCATCGATACTCGAGAATAGAGCCTTAGTTGCTCGACGAACGAGCTTGATAAGCCCCCTTGGAAGATTCAAGGACTGTAGAGACAAAGCAGGTTGTTGAGGGTGAGCCTTGGCGCTACGGTGTTGTTACAAAGTGTGGAGGAGGATTACGATCCTCTAAAAGGATGGATGAATCCGCCCGAGCAGACCTCGTACCTTTTGCAGAAGCCGAGGATTATGGGGTCCACCGGGGCGAGCGTGAAAGGGTAAGTATAACCACGTACGTAGTAATGTCCTCATTAGACCCGGGAACGACCACCTCCTTGCCCTTCCAATTGTAGTCCACTCGGACTGTGGGGAGTATGTTAATACACATTTTTTCCCTCATATTTTTCAAAATAGTGCACATGCATCATCAATTGATTTACAAGTATGCACAAGTATTTTTCATAATTTTCCATAGTTTTTAAAAGCTTTAAATCAATTTATTTCTGCATTTTATTATATAAATATCCAATAATTATCCTTCATATTATTTTTATGATGATTTAATCATCTAAATTTATCATTTGTACTAAAATAATATTTAAATATTTTTCAGTGCATATTTATAATCACATTTGCAATTTTAAGGCTAAATTGCATATTTTACAATAATAGCCCATATGTACCTATGATTATATTATTTATGCAAAATATAACTTCTTATATTTTTATAGTATTACATAATTATTTAAAATCTTTGTGTACAAATAATATTTTTGTTATTTATTAAAATTGGGTATTTAAAATCTAGCCCTAATTCTATAATTAATTTTGGACCTATGCTACCCAAACATAACCCAATTACCCAAGCCCAATACATCTGACCCAATTACCCTTACCCATTCAATTAAACCCAACCCAGTCTACTCAAATCCCAACCGTTGATAAAGAATGATCAAGGGCTTACAAACAATTACCTCCTTTCCTTATATCTCCACCCCAAACCCTATCCCTTATTTTCTTAATCTCGCCACCTCTGTTTCCCCCCTCTAATTAACCCTAATTCTGCCACCTCACTAAATTCCCCATAATCTCATTCCTAATGGGATTCTTTCCCCATTCACCGACCATTTCGAGATATTTTCCATATTTGGTGCTATTTTATGAAATAACTTAAGTACTTGCCTAAACATGATAAGTACCCCACTTTGATTCTGTCCAAATCTATATTTACCTCTTGAATCTGCACGATCTTGAATCCAAATGCGTTATTTTGTACCGATTCTCTTGTATCTCGCTGATTCGTACTTAACCCTAAAGGTTATGGTTTCATATTCTCTTTTGATTTGAACCTAAGCTGGTTCAAACTTTTATTTTTAGCATTATTCTGTCTCTATTCACTCTATTACCTGTTAATTAACCTATTTTTGTCGATTTCTTTTACTTACCCAAATTAGGGTTTCGGATCTCCTTCAATTGAACCAAATCTGGTTCAATTCTATGTTTCTTTTTGAATAATCTCCTATCTTTGTCTATTTTTATGCTAATATGTGATTCTTGTCTTTATTTTCAGCCGATTTTGTGGTTTACCTAAATTTAGTTTTTCATACCCTTTTACTTGAACTAAATCCGGTTCAATGCTGTGTTTCTTTTTGAATAATTCCCTGTCTATGTTTATTATATGCATTATGTGATTCTTTGTCTTATTTTATACTGATTTTGCGTATCTTCACCTAAAATTTAGGGTTTTAATTTTACTGATTTAAGTACTTGCCTTTTGGTATATAAATTAGCTATGTTATGTTCTAATTTCAGAACTATTTAAACTTCTCCCAACTCCCCTTTGAAAGTCTAGAAGTTTTGAGTTCGAAAATCTTTTCACTACTATACAAAAGTTGCGTGCTTCTACTCTCTCTTGAATAATTTTGTTCTGTGTTTTGATTCCTGGCCGGCTGAAAGCCAAGGCCAGAAATCCCTAAGTTCTTGCTTTTGTCTAGTGATATTCATTGCACTGTTGGATTCCTTTATTTCCTGTTTCATCTCAATTGGCGAGTTATTAGACCCTCTGCCATTTCATTATGATTGTTCACTCAACGTGTTACTTCAACTAATCTATGCTAGCCTAATGTTATTATATTGTGGTTTGAAACATGATTAAATTTATGTTGGGTTTATTAATCATTTCTGCTTAAATTCTGTGTTATTGAGGACTATCTCTTGAAGCTAAGTCTGTTATGACCCTACTTTGAACATGTGTTTATTTCCTCTTGTGGGCCAATGAACTATGTATAGATGTATGCATTAATAAGATTACAAGTTTGTTTCTGTTACAATATGGCTTGTTTAACTTTGTTCTTAACATATTATGACACTTCTAGTAACTGCCTTAATTAGTTTTTTAACTTGTCCTAATTTGTTGCTAACTAACGTGATTCCTTCTTATGATACTAGTTTTTTCACTTAGTCTAATCTAGATCTTTTGTTATCACTATGAATCTACCTATGAACTTGCCTTGTTATCATGTGATTAATTCCTAAAACTTGACCAAGTTTGCCAAAGTTCAAGCATGTATACTACTTGTTTGGGTACATGTGTTATGTCCCTTCAGTGAAATTCTTTGACTAACTGTTATTCCTTTACTATCTGGACTTTCTGAATCCTCATTCTTAGCCGACTGAAAGCCAAGGCCATTTAGGTTCTGCCCTTGACCTCCATAGTGTGAGCACTGCTTAGGGTTCATGGAGACCCTTGTGAACTCTGACATGCTAGGACTTGGTCCCTAGTCTTCTCTCTGAACTGTTTCTGATCAATCTCCCTAGTGTGAGCATCGCCCTGGGTTCTTGAAGCTCTTGGGAACTCTGACACACTAGGGACTTGGGTTTTGTATGCTCATCTTTGATATATGGGTGAATCACTCAACAATTGGTTATGTTGTATGAACATGGGTTTTGGGGATATTGTGAGTTGAAGGCCTGGTCTGTCCAGGTGTATTTGGGCCTACTGTAGGCTCCCTATAGTTTACTCACTTTGTAATTCATTACCTTAAATTCTGGTTTGTAATTAATTTTTTTTTGTAATAACAATTCTGGGGTATTATAAAATTGGGAAGGGTTTCTTATTTTGCAATAAAAGTTGGGTAGAAATCCTGCCTATAGGTCCAACAATATGTTATTATAAGTAATGTGTTAGAAATCCTACCTATAGGTCTAACAATGTGCTATTATATGTGATGTGTTAGAAACCATCCCTTTAGACTTAATGCTTTGTTCTGTTATGTTTTGCTTTGCTAGAAACCATGCCTATAGGAAATGGTGTGATCTAATATGTGTGTAAAATGCCTGTTTACATACTGTTCTGTTCAAGTTTTAGAGATCATGCCTATAGGATCTAAAACTAGACTAAATTATAGAATGCACGCCTGAATCTGTTTAATCGTTATTTCTGCCCGCTTACATTGTAGACATGTGATTTTTGACCCTCCCCGTGATTTTTCATATTTTAGTATGTAAATGTTTAGTTTAGGCCTAATATTGTTATTTCAATTAGTTTTGATTCTTTTACTTTATTTGGTCACAAAAATAAAAATTACAAAAAAAAATATTTTAGTTTATGTATCTTTCATAAATTTAAATAAAAATATACAAAAATAGTACCTTATTTTTATTTTTATATAATCTTGAAAACAAAAAAATAGTTTCATGTGTTAATATAGTTTAGTTTAATCAATTAGAATTAGTTTTGTATTTTTATATTATAAATTGTATATAATTTTAAAAGGAGGAATTAGTTTTGGGTTAGTTATCACGTCTTTATGAATTTTATAGTTTTTTTTAGTTTTTGGCCCAATTTTAAGGTCAAATAATACCAAACTCATACCAGCTTAACCTAAAAATATTTCTATATAACTAAAAACAGCCTAGAAATCCTTAGACTCTACATATACAGACAGAATCCGCCATTTTGGACCTTAGGAGACCCCCTGAACGTCATCTCCCTCGACGCACCCCATCTCTGAAAGCACCCTTGAATTTCCAACGAGCCCACCCTAGCGAGAACCAGCTTCAGCCGCAAGACACACATACACACACAAGGGACGAAAATAATAGGGCTAGGAAAAGGGACCGAAACAGAGAGAGACGAGTGGAATGAGAGCATAAGAGCCGAGTCTGAATCTGATCGGAAAAAAAGAAGCTCCGGCGACCTCCATAAATGTCGGCGATGCCATTTTTGGACTCCATTAAAACAGCAGCCATCAAGCTCTTAAACCTAGTCCCCCCCCCCCCCCCCCCAGCTTAAAACCACCCAAAAACACCATGTAACTAACCACCGATTTGTTGTTCTAAACCAGTCGAGGAACACCCCTTAAACCACTGCAAAACTCGTCGAGTCAGGGAGGCCTTCATTTGAAATCTGTTCGTCGTTTCCGTCGTCCAAGGTCCCGGTCTAAAATTTTGGCTTATGAAAAGGTTCGATATTGAATTCTTGCTCGTCATTCAACTTATGATTTTATTCTGGTTGCATTTGATCAATTTTAAATTGTTCTTTCTAAATCAGAATTTGTTACTGTCTTTGTCATGAAGCAGATATTGGATAAGTTGAGTTTAATGCCATTTTGCTAGTCTTTTGGGCAATTGAAATGTAGATGATAATGGTTGAGTCGCTAGTTTCCCTTTTATTAATAGAGTGCCTATATGTATATTTTACTTGATACTTCTTGCTTTGTTTTGGAATCTATTTGAAGAAATTGATCCTTAATTATAATTCTTAGATGATTTGAATACTTTGATATCTCTAGGATACTTGTTGGCAGTGGTTGGTTGGTTGAATTTCATACAACTGTTGTTCATGAATAGTTCATGGGTTTCGACCCCGAGAAACGACAATTGCATTTGACCTTAAAATAAGAGTTAGAGCTTATAGCAGAGGAAGATAGTATGAAATAAAACGCATTCAATTTGCGAGGATTGACAACTTTAGTATATACTTACGTAAGCTATCCCACCTCTCCATAATTAATTTATTTTATTTCTTCCATACTTTCCATAAACTATGGCCTTTCCGATAATCTCAAAGTTTAGGAAGAATAATAAACACCGTTGAAAGCTTTAGGCGCGTTTAATATAACATCGTGGTTGTGTACTCGTTCGCATGACATGATTTTTGACGCGCCAAAAAAATGGGTACACGTGCGCGTGACCCGTTTCAAGATAGTTGCTTAATTAAAAAAGGCAAATACACATAGGTTCTAAAATGAGTAATTAGACAATTTGATTAAGCCAAGTATGATCAAAGCGACCGTGCTAGAACCACGGAACTCAAGAATGCCTAACACCTTCTCTCGGGTTAACAGAATTCCTTACCCGGATTTCTGTGTTCGCACACCGTAAATAGAGTTAAACTTCATCGATTCGGGATTTTAAACCGGTGACTTGAGACACCATAAATTATCCCAAGTGACGACTCTGAATTTTTAAATAAATAATCCTGTTTCGATTGTCACTTAAATTGGAAAAAACTCCCGTATACCCCTTTCAGGGTGGTAAAAAGGAGGTGTTACATACACTATGCTATTACCCTCACTAGAAAACATGCCTATAAGATTCAAACAAATAATTTTGGATCTGTTTCTGTGACCTCCCACTATCTACTATTGCATAAAGCACCTAGATAATATGTTGATATGCTTAATTGTATTATGCTAAAATCAGAAGGCAAACCTATGTATGTGCTACTTATCACATTAAGAAACCGATTGTGTACATAATTGGTTGTTCGGTCATTCAACATCACATAGATATCCTGCATGTAGGATTCTGAAATTAATAAAAAATTTCAGTGTTAACCAATTTGGCGTGCATTTGATGTCTAAATGAGGACACTAACTTGAGACTATACTTGTTTCTATTTGAAAGTCCTAACTATTTTGTCTATCACTTATTTTCCCTTTTTGAGCAATCTAAGTTAAGGTCTAGAACCACCCTGAAATAGAGGTCCAAATGCCATCTGAACCATAGGGATGGGATGGGTAGTGTACTCATAAGGCACGATTTAGAATCAACTAGTGCGCTTTAGGTAAAAACTTAAAGATAGTAATCGGGTAGCAGGAGATGATAGTCTGTGCCCACTGAATAATACGAGTAACACCCCATGTCGAGGGAGTTACGAAGTATTATTTATGTTGCACGGGGTGATCCTTTAGGATAAAAAACTTAGGACCCCCCTCCATTTTTTATTTAAATAAATCATTTATTTCATTTGTCCAAATTGCTTCCTTTCCCTTAGACTAATTCATATAATTGAGTTTGGCCGGGACCCGCAATTATGGATCTCGAAGAGTGCCTAACACCTTCTCTTTGAGGTAATTTCAAGCCCTTACCCGATCTTTAGTGATGTAAACTAGTCAAACAGATTTATTTGCAAATAGGTGCCCTAACTCACCTTAATTCGTTAGGTGACAACTCTCTCTTTTAAAACCCTTCCTTAAAAGAGTTGTCACGTGTCGAAATCCGATTTCGCTAGAAAAAGGGGCGCGACAGCATGCTGACTCTGCTGGGGATATTTTTAGGCTCTTACCATAAATGAACTTGATCTTTGTGAATTAGTATTCTCTGATAACTGTGGCTTTGTTATTTTGCTGTTACTTGGATATCCCGCTCCCATTTTCCCTTTTTATTACTACATGCACATCCTCTTCCCTATTTCCCTTTTATATGAACTCATATGCAACTCTTGTTTAATTTGATTATAACGTGCATTTCCCCTTATTTTCCAATCATGTTCACTTGCTCCAAACTTTTAATTTATCTATATCATATCTCTCTCCAACCCTTACCTCTTTATTTGCTTTATTACAATTCTTTCATTATGCGAACTAACTTCTTCCCTATTTTTCTTTATTTCATGTCTTTATGTTTATTCAATACTACATTTATTGCTTTCAAACATGCAAAAATACTTGACAGCGTGTTATTTTATCTTTGCATAAGCATGCTCCACATCATATTCCACTCGTGCATAGTAATACCATAGCGGCACTTGATGAGTGTCCGCTCTCTTCCTAAAATCACCCTTTAAATTTGGAAAGACTTATTTGCAGTAAAACTAGTCGATCAGCAGTGCAATCGACGGTTATGTACCTTTCCCTCTCAAGTAGTCCGCTTGAGGGTACCAATCTAGACTCTTCTAGAAATCCCATTCTAAAATCAACTGTGCATACATCATGTCTAAAACCTAGTATGAGTTAGAACGCTGTCCGCGCAATAACTCACTAAGACAAACCTTGTCCAAAGTCCGTTGGGATTTCCATAATCCCAATGGACAAATCACAATCTATGCATCATTTGGAAAAAAAACATGCCAATATGTTGATCATTAACGTGTAAATAGCTGAATCTGGAGGGGCAAGGGCTAACTATATCTGTTTTGCAGAAACTGAGGCACGAGTTCCCCAGGTTCATCATGGTTCGGAATATCCCGCCTTTGCTACTGGATTGGTGGGAAAATCTTTTACCAAGCAACAAAAATCACGTGAAAAGAGTTCTTGGGAATTTACCATCTTTGCTAGACATTCAACCGAACAATGAACTGATCGAGGCCGCTACTATGTTCTGGTTCTGTTTCGGGATATAGAAATTGTTACTAGATTTTCTATAGGAAAAATTATAGGAATAAATTGTTATTCCTTTCCTCTACAGAGAAACCTTTCTTCCAAGTCACACCATAAGAGCCATTTATTATCTTTCTTTGATTCCAGATCAAAGATTAATTTTATCATTAATTTCTATCTAGACTATATATCTATATTATATTAAGTACATTGTAGATTTCGATGTATATCTATCAGATCATGGCTTCATGTACCAAATATTTCAATATCATTGCATCCGGTATTTTTGTTTTGTTCCAACAGTGTGATGAAGAATAGATCCGAGAAAGAGACTTTCATTTCCAGTCTCTTATTTATTTTATTTTTATTGAATTTTTGATTTTCTAAAAGGAAAATCTAAAAGATTATCTCTTTTTCTAACAGAGAAAAGAATCTAAAAATAAATATTCGATCGAACTGTTTTTTTTCCTTTGATCTGTGGAAAGATATACTCTGGGATTTTAGATTTATTTATATGAAGTATGAAGGAAAGGGATAGCTTGGTCTTTGAAGAGTTTTTTCAAAACAAAGGATTGATTGAATTGTCTTATTAGGACAATTCATGGTTCATATGCTTAGTTAGAAGGAATAATCCAATAGAGTTCATAGATTTACCTAGGTCAGTTTATGGGCTAACCAATAAACGGTATTTATCTTTGAAATCCATCGGAAAGGGTAGTGCAAGAAAAATCATACAAAAATGATCGAATCATCGAACGCCCCAAAAAGGATATGAGGTGCTCGGAAATGGTCGAAGTAGTTGAATAGGAAGATCACTATGACTATAGCCCTTGGTAAGTTTACCAAAGACAAAAATGATTTATTTGATATTATGGATGACTGGTTACGGAGGGACCCGTTTCGTTTTTGTAGGCTGGTCTGGTCTATTGCTCTTTCCTTGTGCCTATTTCGCTGTAGGGGTTGGTTCACAGGTACAACCTTTGTAACTTCATGGTATACCCATGGATTGGCCAGTTCTTATTTGGAAGGCTGCAATTTCTTAACTGCCGCGGTTTCTACTCCTGCTAATAGTTTAGCANTAGGTAAAACCTTTGATGACTCCCCTTCTAAAGGAAATAGGAGGCTTTGCTGGACTTCCTTGGGAGAGCCCTAATGTATTGGTACCAGAAAATCATACTTCTCGAGGGTTTCTGAAAATGATGGATTTTAGAAAGAATGATGAGTTAGTCTGCCTGAAGAAGTCTTATATACCCTTCAACTTCCTTTACAAACGTTATGGACACAACAAATCCTACCGCCTTTACCATGATGAGTTTGCCATTACTTCGTTAGGTTGGACCCACCATTGGGCTTTTGTGTTCATTGTCTATTTTATGGGGATGCTGGCATTCCCAATGCAAGGAGAAAGGATTCACACCCGTTAAGCTATGGTTACCAAGACATAATGGAAGGAATTGAGGGACAAACCTACACTATTGTCCCAATGATCATAGTAGAGACATACCGAGCTTTGGACCTCTTTAAGAAAGGATATAGACATTTTGAGGGTTGTAATTTTCTACTAAAAGTATGGTTGTTGGAACATCTTCAAAGGGGACAATACCTGCAATAATTTTTGCGACGACCGTGGAATGACCACATAGCTTTTCACCACCCAAAGAGAATGACTTTTATCCCAGACAGGTTTGCACAACTAGGAAACGATGTGGGATTGGTGCATTTCTTTAGCAATTTGACTAACAACAAGGTCCATTGGATGTTTGAATGGTTCCCTACTAGCGAGTTCATCATCAGGTCAAGAGATATTCCTCATCTAGTGCTAACTAAGGGGTATTTATCCTTATGCTCCTATCAGAGTCATGAGGCAAGCAGGGAGGAAACAAGTTATACCCCGAGTGTCCAAGATGGTTCACAACAAAGTAGATTTCCAAGGTAATGCTATTCCATTCAAGTATGAGGCACAACACATATGGCATCTAAAGGTCATGGTGGAAAAGAATATCATCGAACCAGATCGATACCATGCTAGCCATATGTGTTTCTATCCATCATGGTTGGTCGATGACATAGTAGGAGAAGTCAAACAAGGGATTGATTTTGGAAATAGGGTCATAAACGATGCTATCGAGGCCCAAGTCAAATATAGGAGATTACGCAAAAGAATTTTTGAATCTGAGGCAAGACATTTGGGATAGCACAAAGCAGACATGGAAGCAATCAATGAATGGAGAGGAATCGCTACTAAATCCACAGATAGGTTGGAGTATTTAGAGCAGGGGTTGATGGAGCTGGAAGGGAAGATGAGAAACTAGGTTACAGGCTGTCAAAACATGGATGGACATGAAGTAGCTCTCCTAGAAAGGGCGTATCTGCTGCTGGACATGCACGACCTGGGGAACTTGATCGATGGAGCAAAGAAGGCCAAGCATGGAAAAGGTCCTTTTCGGACCAAATATATTAGAAAGTATGTTTTATTTGCTTTCTAGACTCGTTTAGGCTTTGGTTGTAATAAGGCACATGCCATTAGTAACTCTTTATCATTATTGTCATTTTAGTATAGATTCGGTTTATTTAACATATAATGAAATGACGCAGTTATAGGCATCAATTTTATCCAACTCTATATGTCATTTAGGCCTACCTCAGGCACAATGAGGACCCAAAATTAGGATGCAGATTATAATTCTGCAATACATGTTTAAATACCGCAAACACCTTTTAATACTCCTCACTGACTTGTTTACCTTTTGTTTTTATTTTCTTTACTTGTTTATTCCTATCCCCTAAGGTTGGTTTGTGCATACTAGCATCATTAGCATATCATACTAGATCAAGAGGTCCTCCACCTCCTCCTCCTCCAAGTAATCTCAAAAGCAAGGGAAAAGCCAAAATGGATGACACAAGCAATATCAGGAAAGACAATGCTACGCATGAAGAGAATGTCGAAACTTCATATGGTCGGAGCACTCCAGCACCGAATGACTTGGTTTTATAGCTGGAACAGAAGATATTGGAGTTACAAAGGGAACTCAAGCAGGTTCGGAACTTGGCAAACCTTTCCCTTACCCTTAACGCCCCCGACGTCAACACCAAAAACCCAGCACCTCCCCAAAATACACCAAACTAGCATCCATAAAATCCTCCCGCACCTTACTAATATGACACACCGCCTCAAAATCCCAATCCCCTACCAGTACCGACTCCTCCACAACATCATCATCAGCCAACCTAGTATCCCCAAACCACTACCTATCACACTCCTCAGAATGCATCACAACCTATCCCTGAGCCTCAAAACTCAACCAATGATCACCACTACACCCAAATCCCTGGAGTCCATCAAAGTAACCCCATATATATGGAAACCTTACCCCACACTCCTCAACAAACCTTATGCATAACGGAGTCTGCCGAGAAGGACCTGCTCATCAAGAATATGGCGGGGGAGCTTAAGAAGCTCACAAGTCAAGTCCAAGGTGTGGAAGGTGGTAAAGGAATTGAGGGTTTGAACTATGAAGATTTGTGTATTTAGCCGAACATAGGACTGCCGGAGGGCTACAAACCTCCTAAGTTCGAAATATTCGACGGAAGGTGATCCGAAGGTACATTTGAGAATATATTGTGACAAGCTCGTAGGGGTTGGTAAAGATGAAAGAATTCGCATGAAGTTATTTATGAGGAGCCTCACTGGTGATGCCCTATCTTGGTATATCAGCCAAAATCCAAAGAAGTGGATTAACTGGGTAAGCATGACGTTAGATTTCATGGATCGGTTCAAATTCAACACAGAGAATGCACCAGATGTCTTCTATATTCAAAATCTCAAGAAAAAGCCAACAAAAACTTTCCGCGAGTATGCTACTCGATGGAGATCGGAAGTTGCAAAAGTAAGGCCGACATTAGAGGAAGAGCAAATGAACAAATTCTTTGTTCGAGCCTAGGATCCGCAATACTATGAGAGGTTGATGATTATTGAAAATCATAAATTTTCTGACATCATCAAATTAGGAGAAAGAATAGATGAGGTAATTAAAAGCGGAATAGTGACAAACTTTGAGGCACTCCAAGATACAAATAAGGCCTTGCAGTCAGGAGGCATATCCAAGAAGAAGGATGTAGGGGCCGTGATGGTACTCTAGGACTAAAGTCTCCTCTAACATACCAAACACCTCCACCAACATATCAACCTTCACCTCCCAGATATAAACAACCCGCCGCCACCTACCATACTTATAACATACAACCTACATATTACCACTCCCCACCACCAGCTCGCCAAAACTACCAGAAAGCTAAACCAAATTTTGACCGTAGACCAACCAGACAATACACTCCTATTGCTGAACCCATCGATCAGCTCTATGAAAGACTGAAGGCTACCGGTTATGTCACCCCTATTCCCGTTGTTGTTATGGAAAACTCTTCCCACTGTGTTAATATGAACAAGACATGTGCCTATCACTCAGGCATGAAGGGACATACTATTGATGAATGTCGCACTCTGAAGGGTAAGATCCAGATGTGATTGACCAAAGTTATACAAGCAAAAGAGGCTGCACCAAATGCCCGCAACAACTCCCTCCTGGATCAAAGGGGCGAGGGGGTAAATGTGATCGAAAATGATGAAGAATGGGAGCCGGAAGGATCAATTGGACTCATTCGTGAAGGTGATAAACCCAAAGTACCTCCAATCACTCTCACACATATTATAGTGCAGATTCAGTCGCCAATTGAGGTTGAAATAGCCACGCGAACTCTATTTGAGGTGAAAGAAACAACGCCCTCAGCCGCACCAGCTTCGTTTAAGGTGGAAGTGACCACACCTTTCACTGTGACGGTTGTACCCACACCATCTATTAATTCCAATGCTATACCCTGGGACTATGCTGCATAGGCAAGAAGAAAGGGAAAAGGGAAAATGGAAGAAACAGGTGTCGCACAAGGCATGACCAAGGCCGGTAGGGTTTAAACACTTGAGCATTTGGGAGGAACAAGTAAAGAAGTTGCTTTCAAGCAGCCTATCATTGAAACAGGACCGGATGATCTTTGGAGAAATGTGCAAGCAAGGGAATATTTTGCAGTTGATCATCTGAACAAAATCCCTTCTCAGAATCTATTCTATCACTACTACAGAATTTTGAGACGCATATGAATGCATTAATGAAAGTATTGAACGAAGATTACATGCCCAACAACATCACTAGTAGGGAGATGGCTAACATGGTCGGGCAAGTATTGGAGAGCCACAAGATCACTTTCCACGAAGACAAATTACCACTAGAAGGACTGAGTCACAACAGGGCACTACACATCACAGTGCAGCTTGAGGATAAATTCATTACCAGGGTCCTAATACATGGGGGTTCGAGTCTTAACATTTGTCCATTGACTACTTTGAAGAGG